TTGCCCCCCCCACCCTTCCCCCCCTTCTCCTCCTTCCCCTCCCCTCGGAGGCCCCCTGAGTCAGGAGTTGCTACCGCCGGCGCGGCTCCGCGCGGCTCCAGTCCCGCGTTGCCTCAGGAAGGGAAAGGCAAAAAGGAAGAGCCACGGCGGCGCTTTGCAACGGCAGCAGCGGCTCCTGGTTTTGCCTTTCCCCTCCCGAGGCAACGCAGGACTGGAGCCGCGTGGAGCTGCACCGGCGGTAGCAACTCCTGACAGCCCCAGCCGGATACCTGAGCGGAGCCCGGGCGGTGCGAGCGGAGGCCGCTGAGCGGCAGGAAAAGGGAGCTGGGCCAGCCACAGACCAGCCTCCGTGCAACACGCCGCCGCCCGGCCCCGGCAAGGGAAAGCAGCAGGCACTCCCCGGGCGCGCGGCAGGGGGTCTCTTTTGGCCGGCCCCGATTTTTTTTCAGACCGGAATATCATGCCTGGCGCCCGCGAGTTAAAACGAAGCCGAAAGTTGCTGGGAAGTTGCTCGGGTGCTGGGAGCAGGCTTTTAAAGTGCCGCCCGAGCAGGACCGCCGAGCCGGGAAACGGGGCACCAAGGCAGGGCAAGGCTCCACCAGCAGCGGCCTAGCTTTAGGTGGCTCCAAGCAGCCCGCCCCGCCCGCCGGGTGGAACCCTTCCCGCTCCTCGGCGGGAAGACGCTCCAGCCTGCAAGCTTTGCCTTTGCAAAGTTTAAGCCTGGAAGCCCCGGAAAAAAGGGGGGGATCGGCGGGGACTCACCTTCGGAGAGGTCGCACTCGAAGGTGATTTCGAACTCCCAGCCGAGGCCTTTGCAAATTTCTTTTCTTTCCTACCCCTAGATCGCTCCACACTGTTTTGCAGCTTTGGGGGCCACGCGGCACAGGGCAATACGCCATACCCAGCGATTTTTTTTCAGGGGCAGGCCAGATTGGACAGACCAATGGCAGTGATTTTTTTTCAGGGGCGGGCCACATTGGACAGACCAACGGGCCGGATGTGGCCCCCGGGCCGTAGTTTGCCCACCCCTGTTCTAACAGAATGAATAAAACTGAATTAAAAAAAAGAAAATATGGAACCTGCATTGAACAGTAGAAAGAATAACGTAATTGAATATCATAGAACTGTATGGAATAATGACAAATAGGAAAAATAATGTTTGGTGGAACTATGAAATAAAAGAAGTACTGCAGTTAGTGATGAAAAAATGCGTACAGAAGGATTATTGCGAAATGAGAATGAGAGAAATAAACTTTATAATGCCTATGCAGAAAAATGGCAACTTCAAAGATTGAAATCAAAAAGCAGGATAAAGTTTAATTAAATTAAATTAATTAAATTAATTAAAATGTACCACAATCTTGAAATAAGATTTAGGGAAGTGAATGAAGAGGGCTAAACAAGGTCTCTTCAGCAGAGTGAGTGGGATTAAAAATAAAAGTGATGGAATAATTTTGTGTGAAATTGAAGTGACAGAATGCTGAACGAGTGTCTTATAGAACTGCATGGGAATGACAGTGATGCATCCAAGAACAGAATTTGAGAAAATACTGTATTATCCATGTTAGCACCCAAGAAAAAAGTGATGAAAAGAAAGTCATAATGCTGTGAAAAATATTGAAAAGTGTTAAGCTTTCAGGTGTAGATGTTGTAATTGGAGAAAATATTAATACTGTTTGCTTATACAGCTAGTCCTCCATTTACAAGCATTCATTTAGTGGCCATTCGAAGTCCAACGGCACTGGAAAGAGTGACTTATGAGCAGTTTTCACACTTATGACCATAGCAACATCCCCATGGTCATGTGATCAAACTTGGGTGCTTGGCAACTGGCACGTATTTTTTGACAATTGCCACATCGTGGGATCACGTGTAACCTTCCCTGCTGGCTTTCAACAAGCAAAGTCAATGGGGGAAGTCAGACTCGTTTAATGACCACATGATTCATTTAACAATTGCAGTGATTTGCTTAACAACTGTAACAAAAAAAGGTCCAAAGTGGGGCAAAGCTCACTTAATAACTGCCTTACTTAGCAATGGAAATTTTGGGTTCAATTCTGGTCGTAAATTGAGGACTATCTGGAGTGTGGCTCTGCAACTTGTTTAATAAGCATATGTGAAAACTACATTCATCCCTAAATAAAGGTAGCAAGAGCAAAGAGAAAAACTGCAGAGGAAATAGTTGATCAAACGTATCTAGAAAATTCCAATCAAAAATTTAAGAAAGGTGAAAATAGCACTAGCAATAGCACTTAGACTTAGATACTGCTTCACAGTGCTTTACAGCCCTCTCTAAGTGGTTTACAAAGTTAGCCTATTGCCCTCAACAGTCTGGGTCCTTATTTTACCCACCTTGGAAGGATGGAAGGCTGAGTCAACCTTGAGCCTGGTGGTATCTGCCAAATTACAGTCAGCCAGCAGTCAGCAGAAGTAGCCTGCAGTACTGCATTTAGCCACTGAGCCACCATAGCTCATATGGAGAAGCTAAAGTGCCAAAGGGGAATTTAGAATTCAAGCAAACAAGCACTTGCCACATGAACACCCCCAGATCTAACAACTGTTGATAAGAAAGACCAAAAAAAAAAAAAGGCTAGATAGTGGACGTAGTAGTACCTGGAGATAGAAGAGAAAGAATGGGAGAAGATCAGAGAATACAGGTAGTCCTCGAGTTACAACCACAATTGAGCCCAACATTTATGTTGTTAAGTGAAACATTTGTTAAGTGTGTTTACCCCATTTTATGAGTTTCCTTGCCACAGTTGTTAAGTGAATCATTGCATCTGTTAAGTTAGTATCCCGGTTGTTAAGTGAATCTGGATTCCTCCATTGACTTTGCTTGTCAGAAGGACGCAAAAGCTGATCACATGACCCCGGGACACTGCAGCCATCATAAATATGAACCAGTTGACAAACATCTGGATTTTGATCATGTGACCATGGGGATGCTGCCATGCTCTTAAGAGTGAAAAATGGTCATAAGTCACTTTTTTTCAGGGCCATTGTAACTTTGAACTTTCACTAAAATGAACTGTTGTAAATTGAGGACTACCTGTACAAAGACCTGCAAATAGAAGTAGAATGATTGTGGCAAAAGAAAGCCAAGATAGCACCAATAGTAATAACTGCCTTGGGTGCAATCTCGAAACATCTGGAGCATTGACTGGGCATTGACAAAATCACCCTCAGTCAATGACAAAAGTAGCTTTACTTGGAACAACTTATATCCTGTAATGACACATTTAATTATTAAACAACAATTGCCAATCCCAGGTTTTTGGGAAAGAAGAGTGTAAGAAAAGGATGGGTGAAGTCCCCTTGCTTGTTCAATGTACTTAAATATAGCAATACACCCCCTTATACATGTATTTCAGAGGTGGTATTCAGCAGGTTCTGACCAGTTCTGGAGAACCGGTAGTGGAAGTTTTGAGTAGTTCAGAGAACCAGCAAATATCACCTCTGACTGACATCTATTCTCTGCCTCCCGAGTCCCAGCTGATCGTCTGGGTCTTCTTTTGTTTCCCTGCACAGGAGAATGGAGCTGGAAAGCAGGCTAGTGGGATGGGGAGGGAATGGAGATTTTGCAGTAACCTTCCGCTGCCAAGCTGACCAAGCCACGCCCACCAAGCCATGCCACGCCCACCAAACCACGCCCACAGAACTGGTAGTAAAAATTTTTTTGAATCCCACCACTGATGTACATATAAGGAAGGTGTATTGCTATATTTAAATACATTGAACAATCAAGGGGACATTACATGTACATGTATTTATAAGGAAGTATGTTAGTTGGAAATGTAAATGTTTACATACTTTTGTATGCTGGTGATGCCATGATTGACAAAACATATTAATTGCAGGGAATGTTAGATAGATTGTATGATGTCACAGGGAATACCGATCTGAAAATTAATGCATCTAAGACCAAGGTAGTTGCATTTGACTGGGAAAATTGAGTTAATGAATACAAGTAGTATGCATTCATTAACTCAACTAAGTAAATATGCTGAGTAGAGCAAGTAGGTGTGTTTCTGTACCTGGGCAGAGGGTTTATTCAAAATGGAAAAATGGATGGAGAAATGTTAAGTCATACAATGTGTGTATAAATGTATTATTTGTTTGTTTGTTTGTTTGTTTTGTTCATTCATCCATCCATCTATCCATCCATCCATGAAGAGAAGTGAAAAATATTGTGTAGAATGGCTGCTTTTCCTTACTTCATTATATGGACCTGAGAGTTTTATATAACAGAAAGAAAGTGGAACACAAATGCCTGGAGTATTTAAAAGTGGAGCAAAATGAAAACAGGCAAAATCAAGAGAGAATGGGTACTAAATAAATGTCAATAAATACAAAGGTGACTGACCTCTAGCAAAGGTTAAGAGAATAATTGAGATGATTTGGTGTGTGAGAGAAATAATCACAAAATCTCAAAACCAGTATATAACAGAAGGGACAAAAGGAAAGGAGAAATACATTTCTGACTGCAAATTATTTCATCCTCAAAAAGAAGGAGTTTAATGAGACATCCTTTCCAGGCTGTCATTGAACAATATGAGAATAACTGGGAAAATACTCCTTAAATACCAGCACACAGTATCTATTACAATGTGGGAAATGAAGCAGCCATGATTTATAAAGTAGCTGGAGAAAGTGAGACAAGAAAACAAAGGAAAGAAGGTTACATCGCAGTAATTATAGTAAATCTCTGCTAATGGAGCTAACTGGAGACTACTAGGGTGATGTCTTCAATCTGATGGGATTACAACTCCTCAGATCTTCAGCAGTCTACCTGGGGGATACTCCCTTAGCCCATATTTCATGGATTCAATCCCTGTTTTCATCCATTGCTGCTCCAGATGTTACCCAATGGCAAAAAGACAGGCACACTTGTTGTTTTATTGTCATGATTACCATCAGTTTGGAATGGGCAAGACTAGCTGTTCAAATGACTCCTGTTGAGAAATTCTGATTGCAGTAGTCAACTATACAAGTCTACTTACTCTTCTGGAAACTCCACGGGCTTGTTTTTGATCTTATTGTGAAGTGCCAGGATGAATTCATCTATGAAGGGACACTGAAAAACAAATCATTTTTCCATTCTTTTTGGCCTATAGAAAACCTTACACTGACAGTAACAGTTAAGGCTTAGGTCCTAAACAGCTTTTTTTAGAACTGATGGTTGTGGTATTTGAACTCATATACCAATATTCTTATGATTCATAGTCATTTTAATGTGTTATATTATTTTTGTTTTTCACTTATACTGTAATGGAAGCTATTTGCATTTCAATTAAAATAACTAATGATCAGTGAATATATGCATTACTGAACAATCCATGCCTCATTGAGTTATTGTTTCAGAGGTATTTCCTTACTTAAACAAAGGAGCAGAATGACCAAGGGTGGGCAAAAAGCAGTGAGAGAAGAAGCAAGTTTTGATTTCCTGCCAGCTTCCCCACTGAGTTTCTTTGGGAATCTGGTATTTCCCTTCCTTCCCTTCCCCTCCCCTCCCTTCCCTTAGCAATACTTAACAAGGTGCTTCAATCCAATATATTGGTGCAAATTTTAGTATGTCTTGTTGGGTGAAAGACACAATAGAAAGACCTAAAACAGATGATTTAACTCTTAACACCCTCCTACAAAAAAGTAGCCCACATTTACAGACTCCTTACCTTCCCATATACAAAACAAAAGAGAGTGATACCCATTGCCCAGACATCTAGAGCCTGAAAGAAAAAGAAACATTTATTTAATGTATTTATCTTATGTTTTAACATTTTTTACTTCTCATTTTTTTCATGGTCTGGTACTATATGCTGGTTTGAGGATTTTGCCTTTCTTGGGAATTTTTTTTCTAAAGGTTTTTTTATTTGTTTGTTTGTACTTCTGCTAACCTTGGAGTTTCCCTGAGATGTGATGATAATACCTTCTTACATGAGGACAATGCCATTTTTGGCTGGATAAGTATTAGTCCTCATAAGCTGAACATCAGAACTAAAGGTAAGGATTTGGAGGTCTGATACCGAACATAGAAGATGGATATGTTCATACGGCTTCTGAAACGTTCACAACTTTCTCATGAAAATCAAGAGAAATGAAGTCTTATATAAATAATAACGTAGGGCTGGAGTGTCCAACTTGGTAACTTTAAGACCTGTGGACTTCAACTCAAAGAATTCCCCAGCCAGACATGCTGTTGGACGTCTCTGATGTAGGGCGAACAGTAAAGTGAAGAATATATTGTTATTGGGTTAGGAATACATATTTCTGATGATTTTAATGTGTTTATGCTGTAAGCTGTCCAGAGTTGCCTTGAAATGAGATCGCCAACAAATAAATGTAATTAATAATAATCATACTCTCTCCAATTGAATGTGCATGCTAAAGCAATATCGAAAAACAAGGATTCTACCTTTCCACTGAAGCTCTTTCCAGAATCTGAAATAGTTTCAGGGGCCATGAAGGCTGGGGTCCCAGCAGTGCTGGAGAGCTGGGCATCACTGCCTTCAAACTGATTGCTCACTCCAAAATCAGCAATTTTGACATGTCCATCATCCCCCAAGAGCAAGTTTGATGGTTTGATGTCTCGATGAATGATCTTCTGATAATGCACTGGAAAGGCAAAAAAGAAAACATGGTATCCAATGGTGGCTAAAGGAGCAACCACTTCCATTCCAATGGTGTCCAATGGTGTCTAAAGCAGGGGTCCCCAACCACCGGTCCGCGGACCGGTACCGGTCCGTGGAACAAATCCTACCGGGCCGCTGGTTTGCTGGGCGCCGCCATCTTGTTTTGATGAAAAAGTGCTTCCGGTGAGCTCACCGGAAGCACTTTTTCATCAAAACAAGATGGCGGCGCCCAGCTGATGCCGGTACCAGGCCGCGGCATAAAAAAGGTTGGGGACCACTGGTCTAAAGGACTAACTACTTCCATTCAACATTATCTTATAAGAATTCCAAATAGGATGGTTGCTGTCTAAAAATCTTCTTTGCTGATTGTCTGTCTCTCTTGACCTTGGATTTCCAAATTTTCTAACTGTCAGCATTCCAGTGAACCACCATTCTGATCAGTAACTCTGAGATAAATATAATCTCAAAAGTACGTTTATTAGAATAGCACCTGGCACATCTGTGGAATTTCTAAACTAAAAGTTTCCCAGACTTCCCACAATGTCCCAAACTACAAACCATCCCCTTTTCTCTCATCATCACATCACATGAACCAATCCCAAGTAAGTTCCTTTTGTTTCTCTATGACCCTGAACTAACAAAAAAAAATCTATTTTGTCTACTTAGAGCTATTCAATAAAAATCACCCCCCTCCCACTTTCTCAAACTATGTGGCAGCGATGAATGAGGATTCTAAAGCTGACACTAACAACAAAGATGGCTTCATAGGCTCTAAGAAAAGTCAAAACTGTTGTAGGACAATATATCCATTAAATCAGCTCAGGTGCCACAAACTACCAGTGGCAAATATAGTTTTACATCTCTCCAGAACTTTCCACTATGAAGAACCACCCAATTCAAGGGCAACTTTGAGTAACTACATGCATTATTCATGATATTTTCTTGGCAAAATGCAACTTTTTAAAAAAACAGTAATTTCTCAATTTATCCTACACTTCTGGGATTTCCTGATGGTTTCTCACCCTATTTAGCTTTAAAAAAAAATCAACTAAGGTTAGTTGGGCACTGCCATCTAGTCATCAATAGGGAAGGTGGTATAGGGCAAGATAGCCTGTTTTCAGTTACAGTTTTATGGAAGGGGCTTCCAATAATTAAATTAGAATTAGATTCAGTATCAGATGTTATGGGCTGCAAAATCGACCACTTGGTTCCTGGGCAATTTATTTTAAAAATCAACAAAATTCTCTCAAAATTGTTTCCACTATGGCCACATTCTTCACTGTTGTTTCTGCTTATGATCATTCAACAATAATATATGCATGTATTATTTTTTGTAAAATATATATTGCTTTTCTAAGACTTGCCAAAACAAGATATACACTGAGGCACTCCATAGAAGGGAATACGTTAAAATTAATTTTTTATCCGATTTATATCTTTCCTTTCCCTTGGTAGAACATCACAAAAATGCAACAATATTTTTAATAAGTTAGAAACAAGGTAATTTAAATCAACTTAAACTTTACAAATATCAAAATCATTGACATTTTAAAACCTAACTGAGGAGATAAGACCTAATTGTTGTTGTAAAAGCAAACAGAGTGAAAGTCTGAGCACAGATCCCAAGGGAGTAGACTATATTTAAAATTAGAGATGTGCAAAACTCCTCACTTCATTCAGAACATTGTAAACCATTTTTAATTTGAAATATTAAATTCTGGAAGACCACCAAGTCCTCTTCAGAACTATCAGATTGATGAGGTCTAGAAGGAAAATGTTCCATTCTAGGAACAGTCACTTTTTGCCATTACATATAAACATCTAAAAATATTCTTTGTAAAGACCAACGGCATTGGAAGACAAAGGTTGAGAAAGACCAGTTGTCAGCTTTGAAATTCAGCTGCCACATTTTTTTAGAGAGTTAGAGGAGTTGAAAAGTTCAAGGTTATTCTGTGTGTCGTATTAAGAATTTCCAGTTGCAGTTAATTGGTTCTCATGATTTATGAAGTGTAGAAGTGGGAGGAGAGAAGGGAGGAGAGAAGGTGGGTTCTGTGTAACACACGAAAAAACTTTCACTTGGGAAATTGCTTTTGACATGCCAGATCTGTTCCTAATAAATCAACTGGAGAGATAATGTCTCGGAGTGATTGATATCATGGATACTTTCTGGATGCTTGACACCAATATAAAAAGTTGCCTTAACATGTCAACACTAGACCCCATGGATACTTTCTGGATGCTTGACACCAGTATAAAAAGTTGCCTTAACATGTCAACATTAGGCCCTGGCAAACAAGGGGAAGTTATTTAATTGGACTGCTGTCTCCACGACATCCATGAAAATTCACAATCTATAACAGAGACAGTAGGATCTGTCTGTGGTTCAGATAAAGCTCCAAAGACAGGAAGAGGTTTCTGTGACTGGAGATGTTATTTATAAAGGACATGAAGCTTGGTGGATTTTTGAAATGCCAGTGATAGCATTCATTGATGACACCTTGAGGTCAACTATAGCTATATTTAAATAAAGTTCCACTCTCAATTATAACAACAGTTCTGATCCTGTCTCTTGGGAACTTTCAGATTCTGATCAATTAGAACAGTATTTCCCAGTCTTAGGCATTTTAAGATGTGTGGACCTCACCGTCCAGAATACCCCAGCCAGCATTCAACTCCCAGCATTCTGGGAGTTCAAGTCCATACATCTTAAAATGACTGTCAGCCCTGGATCCATCTTTGGACAGACTTAACAGGGCTGCCATAGCGGGGGATGGGCGAGCTGTGGGAATTGGGAGAGTAGCGAAGGGAGTATAGTCACAACAACGTTCTTTCACATGAGATCAAGGAAGGGCTGCTGGCACCTGGAGGGGAGTGGTCGAAATTTGGCAGCAGCGGAGACAGGAGATTGATTGGGCCATGTGATGTGAATGTCACTGGACAGGGCAGGGTGTGAGTTTTAGTGTGGGTGGGGGAAAACACGGGATTTCAGATTCAGGTTTTCCCCAGATGTGCCAATATGACTTCTCTAATAAAATCATACTTTGATGGACTTTGTCTCGGAGTTCTGAATTGCAATGAGGAGTTACTTGGAACGCTGACAATGACTAAGATGGCGAAACATTGCATTAGAAAATAGAGTAAGCTCAGTATAATGGGCTAATTGGAGGAAGGTTGTCTATTATTCTGGAATATCCATCAAATCTCAAAGTACATCATTGCATCATAGATATTAAGAGGTTGGACAACCATTTGTCGGAAAAGGTATAGGGTTTCTTATTTATTTTATTTATTTATTTGATTTGCCAATTGTTTACAAGATAATAAGTATAAATGTATACATAGTTGTGAATACATGAAATGGGTACATATAAGAAAAATAAAAGAAGAATAAGAGAAACAATAGGACAGGGACGGTAGGCACGTTGGTGCGCTTATGCACGACCCCTACAGACCTCTTAGGAAAGGGGTGAGGTCAATAGTAGACAGTCTAAGGTTAAAGTTTTTGGGGTTTGGGGAAGAAACTACAGAGTCGGGTAGAGTATTCCAGACATTGACCACTCTATTGCTGAAGTCATATTTCCTGCAATCAAGTTTGGTGCGGTTAACCTTGAGTTTGTATCTATTGTGTGCTCTTGTGTTGTTATGGTTTCAGCTGAAGTATTCATTGACAGGTAGGACATTGCAATGTATGATTTTATATACTATACTTAGATCCGACCGATGGCGGCATAGTTCTAGGTTTTCTAGGTCTAGAATTTCGAGTCTGGTGGCATAAGGTATTCTGCAATGAGTAGAGGAGTGGAGAACTCTTCTTGTGAAATATTTCTGGACTTTCTCAACTGTGTTAATATCAGATACGTAATGTGGGTTCCAGACTGATGAGCTGTATTCGAGTATTGGTCGAGCAAATGTTTTGTATGCTCTAGTTAGTAGTGTGATATTACCAGAGAAGAAGCTACATAGGATTAGATTAACAACTCTTAACGCCTTTTTGGCTATGTAGTTACAGTGGGCTCTAGCACTTAGATAATTAGATATGAGTATTCCAAGGTCCTTGACAAAGTTTGGATCCTCAGCAAGGTCTTGACTATTTCTCTTGTATTTTATTTTCTGATTTTTTCTGCCAATATGTAAGACAGAGCATTTATTTGTTGAGATTTGAAGTTACCATTTGTTTGAACATTCTGATACATAGTCAAGGTCTTTTTGAAGGGTAGCAGTATTGTCTGTGGTATTGAACAGCTTTACATCATCAGTGAAGAGAACTCAGTTGCTCTTAATGTGATCACAGAGGTCATTTATGTAGAGTATGAAGAGAGTTGGTCCTGAAACACTGCCTTGGGGGACACCACTGTTGACAGGTACAGAATTTGATAGGACGCTCCCAATTTTGACCATTTGTTGTCTGTTTGACAGGAATGCTTCTATCCAGTTATGCAGGTGTCCAGAGACACCGTAAGATTTTAGTTTTAGGAATAGTTTGTCATGTACCACTGAATCAAAGGCTTTACAGAAGTCTATGTAGATTGCGTCTATTGCAGTTATAATTGGGGATTACGTTGTTGTGATGATTTTTGTGTGGACGTATGTTGAGACAAAAGTCAATCATGTTGTGGTCACTGTTGGAAAAAGGTTCTTTAATTTGTATTCCATAAATTGAATTCAAACTATTGCAGAAGATGAGACCGAGGCAGTTGTTAAGTCTAGTGTTGTTGGTTACTAGTTGTTCTAGTCCCAGATTTGTTACTGCATTGTAGAAGGTTGCATTTGTGGGTTCAGTTGTACATTCGTTAAGGGTCCAGTTAATAGGAGGTAGATTGAAGTCACCAAGAAAGATAAAAGCGTGTGGGCATGATGCTGCCCATGTTAGTCCTTCAATTTCCACTATTCATTTAGCAACATTTCAAAGTTACGATATTGAAAAAAAATGTATAAGCATTGTCACATTTGTTGTAAAATAGAATAGAGTAACAGAGTTGGAAG